ACCTGGGGGTTTCCATTCAACCCTTGTCACCCGAGAGGCCTCCACTCACCGAGTACCTGGTCGGGGCCTCTTCCAGGCCCTGACATGTGAGGGCAGGGACAGCCTGAGCCTGGAGGTGCCCGCTACCTGGAGGGGGCAGGAAGGCGGAGCCCCGGGCTGGGGAGGGCGCAGTGCAGACCAGGAGTGTGAAGGCCGGTGTGGGGGAGTTCAGGGGAGGGCCTGTGGGCCTGAGGGGTAAGGGGGACTGCAATTGTCACAGAGGTGTCCGGGCTGCTCCACAGCCACGTGAGGAGCCCACAGTCTGCCTGGTGGTGAATCTCAGGGCCATGGGCAGATCCTCTCACTTCCCTGCGATCCCCCTGATCAGGGGCTGCGTGTGGATCGTTACTCCTGCCTGAGAGAGCCGGGAAAGCAGCCTCTGAAGGTTAACAGAAAACAAAGAAAATGTGCACTGAATTAAGATTGAGTATGAAGAGAAAAACAGTGTCTGCCTCCCGCAGGGCCCCACTGCCGGTGGCTTCCCTTATGTCACTGGTTTCTGCAGAGCCTGCCATGACGCTGCTTCAAGTTGGGGCCACCAGGGGAGGTGCAGGTCAATCTGCAAGCAGACAGCGCCTCTGTGATGGTTCCTACCGAATCCTCTCTCCTGTGGGTGTCCAGGGAGGGGCTGCTGCCAGGAGAGGGAGGAGGAGGCAGAATGTGTGGCCGGAGGAAGGGAGGCCTCCCACGGTGCCCACGTGTAAATCACCTGCCTGACAAAGGCCCAAGATCACCTGGTGTCCTTCTCACATCAGGCGGGACAGGGGCTGCAGGGCTGGTGAGGCCTATGGGCTGCAGATGGGGAGAAGAACTTGACTGAGGGAGCCTGTCCACTGCTCCCTGCTGCTGTGACTCACAGGTGTGAGCTGTGAATGGGCCCGCACGTGACACACATGTGAGAAGGTGCACAGCCTCTTCTCTGGGACAGTGGAAAGAGCACGCTCTGGGGATACAGGCCAAGCCCCAAATGTGGCTCCACCGTGCACCAGCTCTCTGGCTGTGGGTGTGGCTGACCTCTGAGCCTGTGCTGGGAGTGGTGAGAGCACATCTCAGGGTGTGGATGGAGTAGAGAGAACACAGGGTGCATGCAGTCAAAGCTGGAGTCCGACAGTGGGTGGGAGCCACGCTTGGCTGGGACAGGGAGGTGCTGTTACGTGATGTGGTTGCTCACAGAGTGGAGACTCAGACGTGAGAAACTGTATCATAATAGAAACTTTGCAATTTGTGGACAATTACCATTGGAAAAACAGTAATAGACTTTGATTAGCATATGCCACATGGTCCACATGCCAGATGGAGTTTTGTCATAGCTGTGTTGGCTACAGTACTGAATCGATCTGGGCTTCAAGTCATTATCAGCTCCAGTTTTGAGACTTTGGTGAGAATGTGCTTGGCTTGGAAGCATTTTCCACGTGCTCTGTAGGCATCCAAAACCGTCGCTGCTGTCCATGTGGTCTCCTGAGAGGAAAGTGGTTTTTGGCAATAGAATTCATTTTCACGTTGATCTTCCCTTATGTTATTAGGTAACAAAATCTCTCTTGTCCTATTGTTAGCGTCCGCCTTCATTTCAGGGCTTTTCCCAAGCCTCATGGCGGGAGGACAGTCCTTTCAGTTCCCCCTGTGTAGGCAGAAGAGGGGCCAGGAAGGCCAGGAGGCCTAGGAACAGAGTTGAGAGAGTGAAGGACCAGCAGGGCAGTGAGGGCGGAGCCTCTCCCCCAAGACCTCTTTCTAAGAGTCCCCTGAGGGTGAGAGGGTAGGCAGGTAGTTGGTCTGGCTCCTTTCAGAACTGGATCCATTTTTATTTTGAAAACAAAAACGAGGCAGGAGGATGGTGGCAAACACTGCTCGATTTACAGAGGAAACAAAAGGGAAGAGGGTTAGAACTCAGAAGTCTGTGTGTGTGTGTGCGTGCGTGTCTAAGTGTGGAGGGGGGTGTGCACGCGTGTCTGTTCAGACCTGTGATGCGTGTGCATGCGTGTTCAGGGCGTGTCGAAGCTGGAGGAGACCTATGGGCATGATGGGTGGAGAGTGTGCCCTGCTCCATTCCCTGCTGAGAGTTTTGGAGATGGCGTGTGTTTCCACGGGAAGGCGGGCAGTGTCTTAACTCAGGGAGTTCTGGATTTGAGGGCTGGGTGCCACGCGGCTAAGGGCAGACCGGCTCCACAGATGGAACTGCTTGGCCTCCGCCCATCACCTGGCTTGGCTGTGGACCACCCCATGCTGCCCATGTGGCAGGTGTGGGTGTTGTGGGCTGGCCGTGGCCACTGTGCTGGGCAGGAGCGCCTCCAGGTAGCCCTCAGAGGCTGCGGAGTAGGAGACCTGTGTCTGCTGGCAACACGTCCTTTCTCTCTGTGACTTAGGGTCATAATTAATCTTAGTTGGTGGCTGATTTTCACAATGAAATATGTTTGTCCTTAATTTTTAGAGCAAATAACAACATTTGTAAATCAGCAGTCATGTTAGCATATTGAGTCCTGGTGTAAAATGTGCATCACATCTGCAGCTCTGGTAATAAATCCCCTGTAGTGTTGTTGCCGCTTTGGCTCCCAGGATTGTGGGTGTCTCCTGGCCCTGGGGACCCTGATGGGCAGGCAGTGATGATGACACCCCTGAGGCTGGGGCTCACGCTCCTTGTGGTGCAGGTCATGTTCACGTCATGTCTAACTGTCTGCCATGATCAAGGCAGAGCTGGAAAGCAGTGAGCAGGCTTTTGTCTTGTGCCTTCCTAGCAGAGTTTGGACACCTGCCATTTCATAGGGCAGACACAGTTGAGTGTGAGTCACTGCTTGAGCCTGTGTTTACATGGGTCTCTGTTCCTGTATACGGGCATGCACTGTGATGATGTGCCTGAGTCCTGTACTATTACCATGGCAGGACGTGCAAAGGTCCTGCAACATCAGGACTCAACTAAAGCTTTCAACACGATCACATCTTGGGTACTTTCTGCTCTGTCCAACCCACAGTGCCACCCAGAGCCATGGAGAGGGCCAGGTAGCCTGGTGAGTGGTGGGTTCCTGACGCTGAATGTCCCTCTGGGCTGCTGTGCCAGTCTGCTCCGCACTGCAGTGGCGGAGCACCTGAGAAAAACTGGTGTGACAGAGGGAAGGTTTATTTTGGCTCATGGCCTCCCGTGTTTTCACCCCATGGTCTCTGGCTCCATCAGTCTAGGCCTGAGGTGACACTACGCGTCATAGCCCAGGAACGTGTGCCATAGGAAAGGCAGCCAGGAACAGAGAGCAGGAGTGAGGGTGGAGGAGGTCCCACCAGCACTCTCCTCAGGGGGTACCCAGTTGCCCCCTTCAGCCAGGCCCCATCTCCTAGGGCTCCCCTTCCCTGTCTCACTAACTGGGACCAAGCCTTCAGGATGGGCCCAAACCCAGGCCCAGGCTGCTACCCCTCAGGGAGGCCCTGGAGGTTGGATGGAGCACCCAGAGATGGCCCAACTGGAGCCAACCTAATGCTCACGGTGACCTCGGGCCACCACCTTTAGGGTCAGTCGGCTCCAGGCCAGCAAGGTCCGACCTTTACATCTGCTGCAGGGCATCCCTGAATGCCCTGCCTCTGCTGCCTTTCCTTCACAACCTGCTGCTCGATGCCTGTGGATGAGGAGTAACATGGGGCAAGCAGAGTGGGCACAGGGGATGTCAGCTCCAGTGGAACCACACACACAGGGAGTCGGAGATGGGAGAGGAAGAACCTGCTGCCCAGGAGCTCATGTGATGATCTCAGAAAAACAGAGGCTGCGGGCCTTGAGTGTGGGATCCAGCAGGCACAGGGCGGGCATGGGGCGGATATGGGTCGGGCAAGGGATCCTCAGCCACACATGACCCTGGGCCCTTGTAGGAAGAGGTCTCACTGAAACCAGCACCCTTTCCTTGGGAGGCTTGAAAAGATGTCTAAGTACAGGAGTCCACTGGTGTGGATTTAGGGTGACTCTGACCTTTGGTTCTGTGTAATGTTTGTTTTTGGGTCCTCTGTGGATCACAGTTTTGGGCTTTGTTCAAACTGAATCTGTTTGATGTAATCGGGTGTTCTAGCTACAAGGATTTTAGGCCAGAAAGTTAATGGTTCCACTTTAAAGTCACTCTGGGGGTGGATTCCTTCATAGTTACCAGCTCTCTCCTAATTAATGGGTTCCCATTCGCTTGCCCCAGAGCCTGGCCTGGACAGCCGCAAAGGGATGGAGCCCTAACCTTGAGAGCCCTGTAATCAAAGGGAGAATTTGTCCTTGGACTACAGTCTCAATACAATGTGGGGAGTCCTGTCTGATGCACTGACAGAGTAGCCACCAGGCCAGCCAGAGCGTCACACACAGCAACGTGGCCTCCCCAGCCCTGTTGCCTTTCTTGACCGACATGGGGTTCCCAGAGCCCTTCCCCGGGATGTGTAGAATCCTACCCAGTAGTGACTGCCCCTGAATCTCTCTCCTTTCTTCCTTCCTTGGCCCTGCTGTCCTTTTTTCCTCATTGGTGGCCACATGGTCACTCCCTACTCCCCCAGGCACCCTTTGCCTGTTCCTCCCTGTGTCGTGCAGTGGTGTTGGCATGTGGCATGTGGGCTCCCTGGAGGTCCTGGTCTGTCCTGGCGCTGTGAGGTGCCCTGGGGTCTGGGCCCCTGGGGAGCAGGGGGAACAGTGAGGCTGGGGCCACCTGCAGAGTTGCTGTGCTGCCTGGTGGGAATGAAGGGCTATGCAGAGGCCTCACTTAGACAGTTGCCTGGCGTGGGTGTGTGCTGGGCTGTGCTGTGCTACCTTTGGTGTAGCTCTCTGTGGCACACGTTCCTGGGATGCCCAGGACCCTGGCTCTGATCCCCAGCACTGCAAAACAAAAACCAAAATAACCCAGTCCCATCTCAAAGTAGTGGATCTGCCTCGGTCCACATGGAGCCTCTACTGTGGCAGGTGGTGCCCGGGTACAGATCTCTGTTCCTGCGCTGACTGCTGTCTCCTTGTTTCCCCCCAGGCTGCCTGCTGGAGGATGGCCTTTGCGGTACATCGGAGGCCTGTGTAAACGGTGAGTGTGTGGTGAGGTCTGGGTCTGTCTCTCCCGCCAGGTGACCCTGGGCGGGTGTTCTGTGTGCCCTCTTGCCCTGCGACTGGGAGAATGAAGGTGGATGAGCATGGGTCGCACGCTCTACATGCAGAGGAGTGCACCAACGTCTGTCTGGTCTGTTGGTGCTCTCATGTCTTAGGGTGGATCGAGGGAGGCTTTGCAGCTGGATGGGAGCGGCTCTGGGCTGGCCAGGTAGCGGCCCAGATGGCAGCCCTGCTCCCCCATACCTCTCCTCCTCGCTCTCTGCCCTTCTGCCCTCCACTCACCTTCAGACGGGCCTCAGACTCACAGCTGAGATGTTCTGCTGAGAGCTGCAGGGCACACTGTGGGGTGGGGAAGGGCAGCTGTGGGGGCTCCTCCTCTGCAGGAGGCTGCTTGCGTCTTGTTCCACGGGTGATGAATTCAGGGAGGTTTGCAGTTTGAAGTCAGATATAAACCTGAACATCTGAAAAGGGACAAAGAGATCCACACAGCCACTTTCCCCAAAGTAAGTGGAGTCTGGGGGACACACGCTCCCATCCCAGCATGCCACCCACAGTTCTGCCGCAGTGTGGGCTCTGTCTTTGCTGGGGCCTCACATGCCTTGGTCAGGGCCTGGCAAAGTTGCCTCTTGAGTGGCCTCTCTGTGCTGCGGTGGTGGGGGGACCCATGTGCATGGGAGGGCCTGACTGGGGCACAGCTGGGGCTCCTTGTTGTCGGGGCTCAGGTCAGGCGCAGATGCCCTTCCTTCCAGAGCACAGGTCCTGGTCTCAGTGTGAACACCACTTGCTGTGGGTCTGGAAGGCAAAAGCAAGGTGCCCTGCTCACCCTGGGAGCCTGGGAGTCTCAGGGCTGGCAGACCTACACTCTGTTGGCCCTGGAGAGGGCGCGCTTGGCAGTCTGGACTGTTTTCCTTTGTCCTGTTCCTTCTCAGGGAGGCTTCTGCACAGAATATGACAAGTGGCCTGGGTTTCAGGACAAGGAGAAGAGAAGCTTGGCAGTGGCTGGGGGCTGTGGCAGGTTGAAGATAGGTAGGTGCCTCTTTCTGGCTGCATCGCCTCTGCCCAGCTTGGCCCTAGGCTCCTTGGAATGTACCCTGGGCAGCTTTCATTTGGAGGCAGCATTTCAAAAATTATATTCAAATATGCTATCTTCCTGAACTCAACAGATTTTGAAGTTAAAGAAAGCAGGTATGAGGCCGGGGATTTAGCTCAGTGGTTCCAGTGCCTGCCTCGCAAGTGCAAGGTCCCAAGTTTGATCCCCGGTACCAAAAAAAAAAAAAAGAAAGAAAGCAGATATGTGTTTGATCTGACTGGAAATGTACACAGCACCAGCAAAATAAAACCAAAACTCTGCACCCCCTTTGACAGAAAGCAGGCCTGGACCACATGCTGTGACTGTTCTTAGGTTTCTCTTTGCTAACCTCCTCTTGCCTTCCTTGAGGGCAGTTCTATTAATGTTATATTAACATAACCGCTTTGAATTTTTTCGAAAAGGTAAAGCAAGTTAAATGTAAGTAGAAATCATCAGTGCTTCGTTCATAGCAACAGGTGATATTTGATATCTTTTTCTAGTACAGTTAAGGTCCAGGAAGCAGCCACGCAGACCTCCCCACCTCTCAAACTGTGCTCCAAGTCTCCAGGTCAGGAGCAGTGGGAAACAGTGCATCCTGCTGCTTTCGCTGCGGCCTGGATTTATGGTTGTCATGGTGATTGCATAATGGAGTTGACAACTGGTTGGCCAAGGGGTGCGGCAGCTACACCGAGGACAGGAAGTCCAGAGTGTTCCAGAATATTCTGCAGTCAGACACCAATCTTCCTCCCCAGATCCCTTTTCTTGGGATGCAAGTAGAAATGTATAATCCCATTAGCTTATATATATATTTTCTAAAAGCTCAATAGGCCTTTGTTAGAAACAATTGAAATTTTTGGATCAAATAAGATACTTCATGCCTTATTAACTTTTCTCATTGCTGAGACAAAATACCAAACACCCACAAGTTACGGGAGGAAAGATTTATTTAGCTCGCAGTTTGGAGAGGTTTCAGTCTGTAATTGTCTGGCTCCAAGGCGGGTGGCATGGCAGACAGGCATCGAAGAAGAGAAACAGTTCATGGTGGGCAGAAGGCAACATAGCGACAAAGGATGACCACAGCTCTTTCTATTCCTTATACCTTATCCAGACTTCTCGGGGCAGGCAGCACTCACACCCTTTAATCCTAGTGCCCTTGAGCCTAGCATTGCACCATGAATTGATCCCAGCGTCACACACTCTAGATCTGGCCACCTCTGAAAAAGCCCCACCTATGACTGCAGGGGGCTTTGCGGGGACCTCTAGACACAGCCAGAACGTTTCGTAAAGCCAAATGATAACCCTACTTTACCAATGTGCACCTATTAGGCTTGCTATCTGTTTAGTCACTTTCCTCTCACTGGGATAAAAGACTTCACACCACAACTTAAAAGACAGATTTATTTTAGTTTTCAGTTTCAGAAGTTTCAGCCCATGGTATTGGCTTGTTCGAATGCAGAAATGGCACGGTAGAAAGGCCTGGTGGAGGAAAGCTACTCATGTCTTGGCAGACAGGAAGCACACAGAGAAAGGAGGAGCTAGCGAGGGAGATTAAATTCTTCCAGAGACCCGCCTTCCATCAGGCCCCACCTCTTACACTCAGCTGGTGAACTCATTAGTGGGTGAATCCACTGATAAGTGTGATGCCCCATAATCTAGTCACATTCCAAAAGCCACGAGAATTTGGGGAGAAGTTTTGGATGTAAACCATAACACTATTATAAGAAAAAAAAAAGCACTGGCAAGGATCTGGGGAATCAGCAGGAATGTAAAAAGTGCAGTGCTGTGGCAAACAGCATGACTGTTCCTCAGAAAGTTAAAGATAGATACGATCCACCAACCTACTTCCAAAAGAATTCTAAAATAATTGACAGCAAGGACTTGAAGGGATTCTTGAATATCCATGAACGCTGCCGCATGATTCACAAAATCCGCAAAGTGGATACAATGCAAGTGTCCATGGAAACAAAATGTGGTCCATCCATAGCACGAAACATCATTGACCCTCACAGGAGGAAATTCTGACACATGCTATAACATGGGTCAAAGTGAAGACATTATGTTAAGTGAAGTAAGCCAGTGACAAGAAGACAAATACTGTATGGTTCCACTTTTAGGAGGGTCCTAGCATATGCCTGTCACATTCATAGAGACAGAAAGTAGAACAGTGGCTGCCAGGGGCTGGGGAGGGGAGGTGAGGAATTGTGAATTGCTGTGAAGTTTCACTTTGGAAAAATGAAAAAGTTCCAGAAATGGATGGTGGTGATGGTTGCACAATAATATGAATATGTCTGACACCACTGAATTGTGCACTTAAAAATAGTAAAATGGTAAATTTGTGTTATATGTTTATTAATCACAATAAAAAGTTCAGAAAAGTAAACTGAAATAATTTTGGTCATTAGAGAAAAAATTGTAAGCATTCTGAGGGTGCATCTTAAGGTAAAGTGATCACAGCATCCTCGAGCAGGTTGTAGAAAAGAACGTTTAAATGTAGTCACACATGCATCCCAGGTTAGGGAAACAGGTTCCCAAATAATTTAAGTAGATTCGATTTCTTGGTCAATGTATTAGCTTTTCATCACTGTGACAAAATACCTGAGGATCACAACTTAAAAGAGAAAACATTTACTGTATTTTGACTCTCAGCTTCAGAAATTTCAGTCCATGGTCAGCTGGTGCCACTACTATGGGCTGAGGGGAGTTAGAAATATCATGGCAGAAGGGCCTGGTGGAGCAAGCTTCTTCTTTTATGGCCCCTGGGAAGTAAAGATGGAAAGAGCCCAAGAGAAAGGGGCTGGGGACAAAAATCTACCCTTCAAAGTAGTGACCAGGTGACCTGCTTCATTCAATCAGGCTCCACCACCTAGTCGGCCTGTTCAGCTGGCGAATTCATCGATGGTTTAATCCACTGATAAAGTTAGAGTCCTTGTGATCTAGTTGCTTCCCAAAGCCCATCACCTGGCAGCCAAGCCTTCCACACTCATGAGCCTTTTGGGGGAAATTTTGGATACTAATCATAACATTCTATAGCTCCAAGTGGGACACATCCAGAGATAGATGGCGGGTCCTAAGGAGAACCCTCAAAGGCATGATAATCAGTTACACTACACATGGTGTGATTAAAAAAATATAGAGAATATTTAAATTAAAAAACTACAGTAAAAGACCCACTGTCACGAATCCCCACCAAAATACTCCCCCTTGCCTTGAACACTTTCTGAAGCAGCTCTGGAGTCCTTTTTCCTGAGTGTCTTTAGTTATGCTGTCCTGGCTACGTCGATGTCCCGAATAGATTCAAAATATTTACCTTCTATAGCCATTTTGACTTGAGGGAAGAGCCAGAATTTACATGCCAGATGTGGTGAATAAGGTAGATGAGGACACGCCATTGTAATTTTATGAGCCTGCATTTTTATCAGACTTTACTCAGCAGCAACATTAACCATATTTTTGATCACACCTTGTAAAGACATGATTTCTAGAGACAAACACAGGCTTGGAGATGGGGCACCCAGGATGGCCTGAGCTTTTGAGGGACCTGGCCAGGACAGCTGCACCCCTGCAGAGCTGCACCGTGGGTGCTCCTACCTAGATCCAGCAAGAGGAAACAAGGCGGGTCCCCATGTGCGGAGAGACAGCAGTGCGGCAGCAGGGAGGGTCATGCAGCTCACAGCCGGCGGGCTCTGGCCAGGGTGCAAGGCTGAGCCAGGTGTCACCTCTTCCCCTTTTAGGGTGCTTCCCAGCTGTTGTCATGGCAACAGTCCTGGTTCTGCAGGGCGTGCCCTGAATACACAGCGGGTGAAGGCAGGGTAGTCTGGCACCTTAGATTGGACCAGTTTCCGCTGGCTTACTTGAAGAGGGACCCACAGCCATCTGGTCCTCAGGGGAAAGCAAGGGCAGGTGGCACA